TTTCTTAAATCACATCGCGAGGAGAAACTCGTTACAATTTATCCGTGAATTTCACGCAAACTCTCAAGCACATCGAAGGCTGGTCCAATTTTCATAATCATTCGAATCGAAAAAGCGAGCCAAGGTACATTAAAAATCTCCCGAATCGTAAAGAAAGCTATAGTCACACACACACACACACAGCAATTCCCTGGCACGTTTCCTGACGCTCGATCCACGTTCGTTTAATTCCACGGGTCTCGTATTTTCATTTGCAGTGCATAAAGTCGTCGCCTGGCCCAGGGCTAGACTTCGAACGAACGGTGTTAATTTAATTATTCATCTGCCAGTTCATTAAAATCGAAAGGAAAAAGGAAAAAGAAAGATAAGAAAAATTGGCTTTTTAAATATTGAATGATTTAAATTTCATGCAATATTAAAAATTTCTTTAAATCTTTCTTTTGGAATATAGAGCGTAAAGATGATTGGATTCAACCCATACTAATATATTTCTATTCTAATTAGAATATTTCTAATGAGAAATCAAGTGAAATGATTAGGAATCATATATATATCTTTGAGCACAGAAGTATCAGAAGTGATCCAACTTTTGTGTCATCTAATTAATTTTTCTAATTATTGAATGTTAAATCAATTATTGAATCGAAATATAATCGTAAATTAATCATTGAATTATAAATTAATTTTTTTTTCGGATAAAAAAATTGAAAATTCGCGATAGATGAGAATTTAAAGCGAAAAGAAAGAGAAAAAATAAAGTAAAATAAGAGAAGATCGATGGAACGCCACGCACCAGTTTTTATAGCGGGCACAGAAACAGCTGGACCGTACAGGCGAAAGCCCATTCCATCTCGAAATCGAAATCGCTCTATGATTTTTTTGTTTTTTTTTGTTTTTTTAAGTGAAGTTTCATGAATTACTTGTATTAATTTTGAAGAATTCTCTTGTATTTTGAATAAATATTTTTAATTATATTCAGAAGTAATGGAAAATATATCCTGTCTTGGAATATTGAAAGATCGATATTTCTATTCATTTCTCAAAAAAAGTGAAATGTTAGAAATGATACATAACAATTTTTTATTACATTTATTTAAATGTAATTAAAATGTTAAAAAAGTTTGAAATTAAAAAAGAGAATAAATTATTCAGAATAAATGTCTTAATTAATTAAATTCTATTAATTAAATTTTGATCACTGAATATTTTAACCTCCAAAATTTCTCAAAAATTCATTTTTCAAAAAAAGTGAAATATTAAAAATGATACATAACAATTTTTTATTACATAATTAAAATGTTAAAAAAGTTTGAAGTTAAAAAA